CCCCCTGCAGAGCTCTGTGGGTACCAGATCCCATTGCCAGCATCCCTGGGATCCCTGTGCCCAAGCCCCCGGCCGTGCTGGGCAGCTGCAGCATCCGCAGCATCCGCAGGCCCCTTCCCAGCCGGTAATTGATGTGTGCTGCCATGGAAACCGGAGGGTTCCAGCCCGGCTGGATGCGAGCTCAGGGCTGTGCCGGAGGAGCGGGAAGGCTTCGTGTGCCGATGTGGGGTGAGGGGAGAGCACAGGAACGGGGAGGAGAGGCAAGGAGGGAACGAGGAGGGGAGGAGTGGGTGGGAAAGGGCCAGCAGAGAGGGGAAGGAGGCACAGATGGGGTCAGGATATCCTGGGATGGCTGAGGAGCAACTGCAGGGCGTGGAATGTTCAGGATGGACAAGGAGGGCCTGGGACTGTCTCTGCTTAGGAAAACACCCTTTGGTCACCTGTCCTGGGGACAGGAGCTCTGCCCTCTGTGCCAGTTGTGCCAGCCTGACACCATCCTCAGCATTCCTTGGGATGGCAGCAAAGGGAACTGGGCTCCCCAGGATCCCTGGAGACACCTCCCTGCTCCCATCCCTGCCCGAGGGGCAGCTGAGACCCCCCCCCAGCCATCACCATGAGGGGTGACCCCTCAGGAATGGGGGCATCAGGTCCCCTCTCGTGGCCCTGCAGAGCCCTGGGGAGGGGATGGCTCAAAAGGAGTCCCTGCAAAGGGGAGAGGAGGCTGAGCTTCCTCTTCGTGTGGGAACTCTTCCATCCTGGAGTCTTCCAAGCTGGGAAGGAGTCTTTGCTTGGTGATCCAAGCACAGTGAGCCCGAGCTGAGCAAGGAGAGGTGCAAGGCTGTGAGTGAGCCCAGCACAGCCCAGATGTGCCACAGCTGTATGGAACCCACCAGAGAGGGGAACAACTCTACCCCAAGCCAGGAAAGCTTGGGATCATCAGGATCCTGTGCAAAGGGAAACCCCACAGACACGGCTGGAGGAGCTCCCTGCAGCTGGGGTGGGAAAAGCTACAAATGTGCCCCAGTTTGGAGTGGCCCAGATGTTTCCAAAGGGTCTGAAATACCCAAAAAAATCCCAGCCAAGCCTGGGAAATGGTGGGAAATGGTCTCCAAGGAGCTGTGGTGGAGATGAGGGTGGGTCTGGAGAGCTTTGATGGGATTTTCCCTGATTCCCACCTTGGCTGGTGACAGGCACAGGCAGCCTCAGGGCTGGGGGTGTTTTTTCATTGACATATTTGGGTTTCAATGATAAAATCAATCCCAGACTCATGGAATGGCTTGGGCTGGAAGGGGCCTGAAGGGACACCTTCCACTGGAGCAGGATGATCCAAACCCCATCCAACCCTGCCTTGAAGGAATCTGGTCTGTGGCAAAGTGCTTTGGGGGCTTATCCTCCTTGTCCTTGTACAGGAACACCCTCAGATTGGACAACAGGGAGCCAAGAGCAGGGAAAGGAGGCAGGGAGACCCCAAAGGATGCTCAGGAAGCAGCCAGGCCCAGGCAGCCAGGTTTTCACACTTTTATTGTAAAGCTTTAGGAAGGGCTAATTACAATGGAGTTGGTCATCTTGACAGCTCAGCAAACGAACGGAACAGGGGAAGAACGGAAAGGGGGGGATCACGACGGTGTCATGCTCACGGCTCCGAACAGAAAGAGTTACAAGGGAATCAATTGTGCTCACAGCGCCCGGGGAAAACCAAGCCCAAGGCCCGAAGGCTTCCCCGCACAGGGAAATGCATCACACATTGAGCAGTACAACCTTAGCAAGAGGCGTCGCCTTAGACATAGGGCACCATCTGAAAAATAGTGGGGGTACTTTACTCTGCCATAGGATTTCTCCTTTAGAAAAGCTACACCTGCATGTACATAAAACTGTACAAAAAACAAGGCATCACAAGCAAGGAAATGAAATCTCGTATAAATAGAACCAACACTGAAGAGCTACAAAGGGGTCGCTTAGATCCTTCCCACGCAGCCCGCCTGCTCCCTGGCTCCCACCTTTGGTTTTCCCCCCTGGCTTGTCCTAGTGCAGTGTGAGATACAGTGAACCCTCCTCCTCCTCCTCCTCCTCCTCCTCCCTGTGCTTGTCTGGACTGGAGCCCGTGGGGAGCTGTTCCTCCCCCCACGCGCACAGAGGCTTTATCCTTCTGGCTTATAATTGTGCAAATGAGCTTCTTCCCACAGCACCTCTTCCTCACCCTCCCCCAGGACTGATCCCCAGCCACACTGGCAGCTTCCCCCCGGGATAAATCCCCTCGAACCCCTCTCCCAGGACTGATGTCCAGCGCCCTCTCCTCCCCTCCATCCCACTGCACCCCTGGCACCCCACTGGTCCCATTGCCCCCTCTGGCCTTCCCCACAGAGATCTTCCCCTAGACCCCCAACCCCACTGCACCCCCAGACACCCAGACACCCAACCCTGGCCCCGCTGTGCTCCCCTTCCAACCCCCAGCAGCCCTCTGTGCACCCCACAGGACTCACCCACCCCCAAACCCCAAACCCACCCCTAAACCCATCCCTCGGGGACCCTTCTGCACTAACCCCCCTCCCCCTGCACCGTGCTCGCACTGAGGACATCGCCAGGTGCTCCAGGAGACAACACAGCAATTCCAGCCACAGGAATTCCAGCCTCGGGATCCCTCTGGGGACCCCAGCACAAGGTAGGGAGCCCACCCGCCGGGATAAGGTGGTTTTGGACAAGCCCCCCTCGGATGTGGCTCTCCCGGGGGTCCCCAAGAGGGGCACTGGACACTGCCACTGCCTGAGCCCAGGGGAGGCGTGAGCAGCCGAGTTGGCAGTGGAGTCAAAGATCGTGGCCAGCGCGGCCAAATTGCACATTCTGCCCAGTTTGGCCCTGAAACTACAGAGCTACAATAAAAACAAGTTCAGGAGCGGCACCTGCTCAGGCAGCGAGACCGGGGGAACTCGGTCCCGCGGGGCAGAGCAGGAATCCCGGCCGGGCTGGACATCCCCCAGGAGCATCCCGCCCGTCTCCAGGGACACCTGGCCGGGCAGGAGCAGCAGCGGGAGCCGGGAGGAGGGTCCTGCCTCCTCCGGGTGGCACCGCCAGGTGCCGGGGCTGCGGAGTGGCAGCGGTGCCACTCGCGGAAGGCAGGGCTGGGGCACGAGGGACGCGAGGGACGCGAGGGACACGAGGCAGAGGGTGCGAGCAGGCGCCTTCTGCCGCCCTTCCTTTGTCCCCCGGGGCTCGGCTGGCACCGTGTCCCCTCGGGCGGTCCTGCCACCGCCCCATCAGGGGGAGAGGAGCTGCTCAGAGCGGGGTGCTGGAGGGGAAGGAGCTGGGCAGGGGGGTCCCGACAGGCACTACAGCTATGGCAGGGCAGGCCCTGCCCCGGCCCAGCCCGGCCCTGCGGGGTCCCTGTGCCCCCAGAGCCACCCCCGCGGGGTCCGAGGATGCGCCATCCTGCCGGCCTCGCTCCCTCAGGAAGATGCCAGAGCTGGAGACGGGAAGCACAAGGGTGCAGCACGGCCCCTCCTGCGGCCCAGCGGGCAAGGACTGGCGAGGGCTACCCAGCAAGGAGGTGCGAGTGGCCCGGACCCCTCCTGCCAGGGGTGCACCCCAAAACCAGCACTATGCCCCAGCTGCCGAGGGAGCAGTGACAGAGGCAGGGGTCCCCCCGTGGGGAGCCCTGTGAGGGGCAGGGGCTCCTCTCCCCCCACCCCGGCTGGGGACCCTGCACGGGAGCTGAGGAGGCCGGGGCAGCGGGGACCTGCCGGGGGGGGGCGGTGGCCCGTGGACCTTTGACAATGGAAGAGAAAGCTGGACCCCCGTGAGAGTGGCCCTGTGGCCTAAGGGCAGCGGGAGTCCAGCGGGCAGGGGCTCGGCGGCCCCCGGTGTGACCCTGAGACAAAGCTCCTCCTCACAAAGGCAATGGTGGCTTTACAGGCGGGTGGGACGGAGGTCGAGGGCACGGCACAGCCTGGCCTCGTGGGCATCCCCTGCCCCGGAGGAGGCCCGAGGCGATGGGCTGAGAGCCGCTGGCGACCTCCCTGCCAGCAGAGGCGGACTGAGGGCTTCTCCGGACCCAGCCGGTCCCTTCCTGGGGACATCCCCTCCCCGGACCCAGCCGGTCCCTTGACTGGGGGCTTCCCCACTCCTCCTCCACCCGCCAGGCGCAGGGCCACCACCGGGGACCCCCCCACACCCCCAAAGCAGCCCCCACCTATGGCACCGGGCAGTCCCTAGGGACCCTGCAGCTTGTGGGCACAGTGACAACGTTCAGAAAGAGATCCAGGCTGAAAAAACAGCAAAGTCCCTACAAGTCCGGCCAGGATGCTGCCCCTCTCCTCCAGCTCCCCAGCTGCTGTTTCAGGGACTGATCACATCTCTATTTACAATATAGAACATGAGTGCGGGCCGGACGCTGCGCTCCCAGGGGCTCTTCCACGCAGGAAACCATTCAAAGCTGGAACTTGCTCCCTGTGGTTTGTAATATTTTTTTTCTCTCTTTTTTTTTTTTTTTTTGCTTTGTTTTGTTTTTTCTTTTTTTTTTTTTTTTTTTTTTTTTTTTTTTTTTTTTTCTGTTTCAAGGACAATAAAAAGTTGCGATCAGGCAGGACTTGAATGTCATTCCTATAAGATTCGTATTTACAGGAGTCTACAGCAAAGAGACAGGCAGCTGGCTCCCCCCGTGCTCGGGGACACCCCTCGTCCTATGCCCCAGGAACTCCACCAGCTCTGCGTGGACCTTTGGTACTTAAGCCCTTCTCTCCCTTCTCCGTGCCCTCCGCACCAGGAGCCTGCCCAGCCCTCCCTGGCAGCAGTTCGGGATGCTCGGCAATTGGGGTTGGGATGCTCAGCAATCGGGGTTGGGATGCTTTTTCATCCTCCCCACCCACCCCCAGCCCCAGGGCAACACGGGGTTAAAAAGGCGCTCCTCTCATCCCTGCCTCGCCCTGCCCTGCTCCCCGCAGAGCCCCCAGCCTGGAGAAGCGGAGCCATAAAGCATCGAAGTGGAAAACGTTCCTCTGGCCTCTGCTCCCTGCCCCTCACGCCCAGCCTCACAGGTAGATCTCCCTCTTGGTGGTCTGAGCCGAGGGGGTGGTGGCTGGCTGGAAGTCCGAGGTCTGGGTGAGAGGAATTTCCTCCATGGGAGAGTCCTTGCAGGGCTCATGGCTACTATTGGAGAAGGCACTGTACGTGGGGAGCAGGCGGAGGTTGGCCATTTTGGTGCTGCGCTCTTCCGACAGTCTGGGGCTGCCGTTCCCGACTTGCTCTTGACTCCCTCTGTCTTGGTAAGGCACAAAAGTGGAGAGTTTGAGGGCGTTCTTGGGCCTGCGGCTGGGGGAGGACTGGCCAGGCATCCAGCACGTGTCGGAGTGGCCGAACTCTGTGCACTCCCGGGTGCAGGTCCCAGTCATGGCTACATCGGGCAGAGGCCGGAGATCTGCGGGGAACAAGGGACAGCGGCGTTATCCCGGGAATCCCCTCGGCATCAGGGACCGGACATCTCCGTCCTACCCACGCTGGGAGGGACGGATGCACTCCTCTCGTCCAAATGTTTTTCCCCTCACCGTGGCCTGCAAGGTCTCGGGAGCATTCCCACCATTCCCAGCTCCCTGTTTTTTCCTGGAATTTCCCCTCGCCACAGGCTCTGGGCCCATTTTTCTCCTCACTATGGGCTCTGGGCCTGTTTTTCCCCTCAGCACAGGGCGGCCATTTTGAGCTCTGGGCATTTCCAGATTCCCATTCCCCCCCCTTTTTCCCCACGATTTCCCCCCTCACCATGGCCTGCAGGGTCTTGGGAGCATTCCCAGAACCTGGGAGCCGGACTGATGGACATCCCAGGAGCCAGATCCATGGACACCCCAGGACAGCCAGGGAGCAAGGCAGAGCTGGCAGGGAAACCCAAAGGCACAGAGAAACAGGAGGCAGAGCACAGGGCAGAGCTCCCCGAGCCCCTTTGGAGACCAGGACTGCACAGTTTGGATTTGCACAGCAGGACACACGCTGCCACACCAGGATTGTCATCCCAGAAGTTTAGGCACCGCCTGGAACCTGCTAAATCCCAGGAATTCCCACTGGAAACCACCCATGGCTTCAGTGTGCAGAGAGAGAAGTGCCCTGGACTCAGCCCCGAGGCACAGCCGTGTGTCCTGGGCAGCATCCTCGGGCATCCCTGCCCTGCTCCCACCAGGCATTCCAGGCCACATTCCAGCCTTCCTCAGCAGGAGTCACAAATCCAGCCAGAAGTCCTGGTCTCCTGTGGAGCCGGGAATCCCTGAGGACATGGAGGCAAAGCCATGCCTATCCTGAGAGAGGCTGGAGATGCCAGGAGTGCCCTGTCCACCAAATCCCTGCTCGTGAGGGAGCCCAGCACCTGAGGGCACCACAGCTCCCTGCTCCTGGCACAGCCAGGACACTGAGCACCAGTTACCCCAGTCCACGGACTGGTGTCCTCACACACCAGCCACCCCCTGCCCCAGGTGTCCCTGAGCCTTGGCCAGGTGTCCCTGGCACAGGCAGCACCCGTCACGAAGCTTCTGAGGCTGGAATTTGGCACTTCCATGCAGAGCTGAGTGTCCCTCCCAGAGCCATGCCAGCCACGAGCCATTCCTGCCCAAATTTGGGACACCACGTCACTGCCTGCTGCCACAAGCAGATCCAGCCTGGTGCTGGTGCTGGGGTGGAACCATGACCTTGAGGCTGCTCGGACTTCCAGATGTCCCTGTGGTTCCCAAAAATCCTCTCCACTTTTCCACCACCGTGGAGCTCTCTGCACTGACAGACTGATGGAGGGAGGTGCTAAGGAACTCTGGGCACCTGAGACATGTGGGGCACTCCCTGAACACAATTCCCACAATTCCCTCATCCCAAAAGCAGGGCAGAGCCACGGGCGCTCCCTGAGCCCTGGGAAGAGGCAAACCAGAGCACCATGGGAGGGTTCCTGCCCTGGCCAACGCTCCCTCCTGCCACCAGTTTGGGACTGTCACACACTCGAGTCACCCTGGCACAGCTTTCACACACAGGATGCAGGAGAAGGCTCCAGACAATGCTGGGAATGCTCGACACCGGCATGGATGAAAGGGCGAAGTCAGCAGCCAACCATTGTGTGAGCACATCTTGCCCTAAAACAGCCCCCAGTGACCGTCCCCAAAGGCAGTCTGGTTTCCCCCTGGAGCCTGTGCCCAAATTCCATCCCTGGTGCCCACGGAAGCTCCCCCTGGAAGCTGGGATATCCTGGTGGGAGCCACACGGACATACCTGATGGCAGCCCCCCTTCACAGCCTGCTCCGCTCAGGGGACTCTGATGAGGGGCAGAAAAAGGACGACAGCGTCACATCAGTGCACAGCCCCGGCCTCCACACCCCCTTCATCCTCTGCCACCCCCTGTCCCCCTGGTCCCCGCTGCCTCCTGGCCCTGCTCCAGCCTCCTGGAAGCCGCTGGGCCACCGCTGCTCCTCCTCCCTCCCTCCTTGCTCCAGCTTTATCCTGATCCTCCCTGCAGCCCAGCAGCCCTGGCGGGACTCACACGGGGACGCTCGAAGCCACCTGGGTGGTGACACCAGAAGCTCAGGCGTGCGGAGGGGCTGGGGCCGTGCACAGAGACATGGATACATCCCATGGATACACACATGGACAGGGATACACACGTGGATACACACACAGGGGTCCATCCCAGCAGGATGCTCCGCCCTGCGCACCGCACGCGGGGCACAGCCATGCTCACACCGCGGGGACAAAAAGCAGCAGCAGCAGCAGCAGCACAAAAGCAGCGCAGGGGACACGGCAGTGGCGGTGGCAGCACGAGCACGGCTTGGCAGGGCACGTCCTTGCACCAGCTGCCCTTTTTCCTGGGGAGTTGCCTCCATTCCCTCTCCCATGTGAGATACAAAACCAGAGGCACAACTGCTCCGTTTTCATCCCTGCTCTGGGCGAGTCCAAGCAGAGAACGGAATCTGAATCCCAGAGGATCCATCAGGTTTTCCTCTCAGGACCCACAGGATGCTCCAGTGGCCACACAATGGCTTGGTCACTTTGAGGTCGTGTTCTGTGGCCTTTCACTCCTGTCCAAGAGGAATTATCGCCATCCTTCCCTCACCAACTTTCCTCCTGGACATCCTTTCCACTTCCAGAAAGGCCCTGGTGCTCTGTGCTCCCAGGGGAGTGGATGGGAGCCATCCTCTCTTCCTGGGGCAGAAGGAGCTTTCCGAGGGGACTGGCAGGACTGAAATAAAATCCACCTCTGCAGGGAACAAAGCTACGGAGATTTCCTCGTGCCAGCAGCAGCTTGGGAATGGCAGGATCAAGCAGGAACGCTGTGTTCAGGGTCTTTTATTCTGCTTTTCCCATTGTCTGCTCCTGGCACTGAAGGCTCTTTCCAGCATTGTCCCCTCTCTTGTGGAGCTGCTGAGGAGCGGATTCGGTGCCATGAGCCCGGAACGGGGCAGGGTGGAATTCCTGAATAGCTGGGACTGAGGGAAAACACGACCCCATGGCCTAATTCCCAGCACATGCTCGTGGCTCAGGAACTCTGATGTGCCACCAGACAAGCACAAATCCCTCTCGGATGGGAATTTTGCCCCATTTTCCCCCAATTCTGTGGGGTGGTAAGGAGGCAGGCCCACACCTCGGGGTGCACAAAGGGTGCTCGGGATTTCGGATCCCTCCTCCACCCAAAATGCACTTTTGCACCTCTGAAGCCCTGGAATGTGACAACATTCCCAGGGATGAAGAGGGTGGCCACGCCCTCCCTGGTATCAGGGTGTCCTGGCCACACCAAGTAAAGCTTTGTGCAGCTGCCGTCTTTTCCCGAGCTTTGGCCCATCCTGGTTATTCCAGGCCACCAGACTGTGCTTCCCAGGCAGGGAAGTGGTTGTTTGGGCATTCACAACCCTCACATCCTCCTGGCTCAACCCTTCCTGCAGCTTTGCCTTTCTCTGGTGTCCCCCTGTCAGCTGCCTTGGGGTGCTCTCCTCCTTAGGGATGAATCCAGGACAGGAAAGGCTGGGATCCCTTTTGTTTTTTGGGGTTTTACACCAGGACACCCTCAGAGATGCCAGGTTGGCTCAAACAGAGGCACAAATCGCTGACGATGAGTTTCCTATCTCACTCTCTCCCCACGCAGGGCAGGAACTCATCCCGTCACAGAACTCTTCCAAAACCTTACTGGGGGATCCCAGCAGAGCTCTGGGGCACTTTGGGAACAAAACAAAAGCAGCAGCCTCAGCCAGCAGCGCTTCCATCTCCTGCAGGAGATGGACAGAGGTTCCCTGGCCCTCTGCAAGCCTGGGAGCTCCAAGCAAAGCCTGAGAGCCAGCCCTGAGCGAGCTTTTTACGCCACCTTCCACAACATCCCCAGCCTGGTTTGGTCCTCCTGTGTCTTGCACTTGCATCAGTGCAGGGAGAGCGGGGCTGGATGATGCAGCACAGAAATTTTGGAAGGGAGGGGATGTGCTGGAGCAGCTCAGGGAGGGGAGGCAGTGGGGCTGTGACAGAGCAGAGCACTGCAGAGGATGCAGAGAAGCCCAGGAAAGGGGAGGAGGGAAGCACAGCATGCCAGGAGGGACTGGAAAGGCTGTGGGGAAATGGGGAATGGGAGTGTGGGGAGAGCAGCTGGGAGGAAAACGACATTCTTTCCCAAAGCTGGGATCAGAAAGAGCTTTCTTCCCTCCTCGGGGAGAACTCATTCCAGTCAGCTGCCCCAAAATCAGAGCCCCAAAGCCCTGAGCTGTGCTGGCCCTGGGGACAGAGGGATGGAGCAGGGCCACACTACACCAAAAATTCCAAAGGTCTCTCCTCAGCCAGGGAAAGGGGCAGTGCTCCCAGGAGAGGCAGCTTGGCCACCTGGAAATGCCCCTTCTCCCATTCCAAGCCCCCAGGGCTCTGCAGAGCCCTCTGGGATGTCCCTGAGGGTGGTGGCCTCCCGTGACATCACCTCCCAGCAGCACTGTCCCCTTCCCTGTGCAACCGGGACTCCCTTCCTGCCCCACAGCTCCTGGCAGCCGGCACCATTCCCTATTCCACCATTCCTGGTGCCGTTCTCCTGCACCGTGGCTCCTCCAGGAACCATTCCTGGCAATCCTGCTCCCCGCTGCCCACGGCAGAGCTGCTGCCGGGCCCCATCCTGCCATGCCAACGTTCTCCACAGGTGCCACTCTCCCGCAGTGCCACTCCCTACAGGTAACGTGTCCCCCACAGGTGTGTCCCCACAGGTGTGCTCCCCACAGGTGTGTCCCCCACGGCGCTCTGCTGAAGGCACAGCTCTCCCATGGCGCTGCTCCCTCCAGGTGCCATTTCCCGCAGCGCCATTCCCGGGAAGCTCCGTCCCCCACGGCGCCGCTGCCTCCAGGTACGGGTTCCCCACGGTGCCACGTCCTGCAGGTGCCATGTTCGGTGCTGCTGTCGCCTCCAGGTGCTGCCTCCCCCCGCTGCTGCCTTCCCTGC